GACGGTAGAGTTTACTAGCAATCTCTAGCGGAAAAGTAAAACAACCCGTCGTTCCAGTTGCAGCCGCATGACACCCCCCTGTATCCATTCGCCGAATGCTGTATACATACGATCGTGAGGAGGATGGCGAAGGTAGACGACGGACGCGGCGATGGGGGAGGAAGAGGCGGTAGGAAACAAAAGCGGAGGGAAAACTCTGGCCATACTGGCAGCTATACCGGCATATTTACAGAGAGAATAGAAGAGAGAAGAATACGTTTTAGTTTTGCATTTGTCGCCGAGGAGAAATAGTGCTTCGAGAGAGAGGAGAGTGCTCTGGTAGGTAGGTACGCGTGGGTGGATAGCGACGCCGAAGGAAAAAGGGAAGTGGAGAAGGTGTGATCGTAGGTAGGTAGGTAGGTAGATAGGTATACGCAGTAGCGGACCGTCGCGTCGCGTCGCGTCGCGTCGACCGGCGATGGAAAAGAGGACGACAAGAGAGATACGAGACTGCTATCTAACCGCGTCAGCGCGCTCGGGAGCAAGGGGGATGTAGGTAGCAACAAGGGGTGGCGGGCAAAACGACAGGGACGAAGAACGGGAGGGAGGTGAAGTAGGATCGGGTCCCATGTGCCTGTCACGGTTTTACAAGTCCATAAAAAGAGGAATTTCAGACTGAGTTAAATATTGCTGCCGCCCTCACTGAATTTCAAGCACGCACACGCGTACGACCGCCGCCGGTACATATATAATAGGGCGCATCCACAGAGATGAGACCGCGCACCTTTTCACACGTGTAACGAGCACGGAATGGCGGGAGGAATCTTCCTGTGATATTTATTTGGCCGTCATGTGCGTGCCTGTTAAATTATTTCAAGTCGCTCGGACCATGCGCAAAAGTCGATGCCGAGGGATTTGGAAATGTAGCTAGTGAATTTCATTCATCATTCGTACCGTTCACGCATTGTTGTATAACTGACAATGAATTCTCTCAAATAAGTTCGCGTTGTGCGTATAAATAAACGTGTCATCCTATAATGTTCGTCATCCTATAAACGTGAGCGACTTATGTGTTTGTAAAAAAAAAAAAAAAAATTACAAATCTTTCCTAATTCGTCCAGTTTGCATTGCATAATCTGCATTTATATCAACCTTCCAACGCGCACGAGCATACAGAGATCGTGGGAAGAAAGTAGTTATGACGGGTTTCATGGTTTATGGCTGATTCTCTAGGGATCCCAGACACAGGAAGCAAAAGAGATTATCACAAGGGACGTACGCTTAATCCCGAACTACCGCTGTACTGGACAGCCTTACGCGTAGAAGTTATTCTAGAAATACATGGAACTGTGTTACACCAAGTCCCATTTCACTGAATATCCTATGCTTTATCTACGTACACAAACGTTGAAATAATAAATTATACATGATTACGACGAAATTATAACTGCGCACTTAAAAACTGCGATGAAACTTATAAGAAAATGTGTCGTAATTGTGCTAATAAAATTTTTACGGAAGATAATATTATATATTTTAAATTTATTTTTCATTAGGATAAATAGATGTTGTACGTCAAAACATTTTTTTTCCAATTTTATTTACAACCCAGAAATAAAATTGCAAATATGCATTATCACGATGGATAAATAATTTCAACTATTGATTACTTTATGTTCGCTGTACGTTTTTAGAGGTAATATTCCAACAATTTCTCTTTTTAACGATAAGGAAACTGGGACATAGTCGTTGAAAATTATGCTGCGAGATGCTGGGAAATTTATTTTTAATATATTAAATCGAATGCAGAAATTATAATAGCCTGTCGGATTGTGACGATTTCCAGAATTGACTTCTATGCGTAAATATAAGTGCATATTAGATATTTTTCAACAGCATATTTTTATTAACTACTTAAACGTTATATAACTTTATTAATATACAAAAGATTTACTACTTTATATAAAAATATTATGTTACCACACATGAATAGTAAAAAAAAGCACGGCACATTTTTAATAAAACCATTTATATTCACACATAATGTGAATTTGTTCTACGAAATTGTGTACATTAAAATTTCCACGTAGAAATTTTCATCGTCAATATATATACTGGTAATAAGAGTGTCAAACATTAGTCGACATTAAACATTCAATTAATATTTTATTTAATTAAACATGCGAGTAATTATAGTTGCGTGGAATCAAAGTAAAAGGATATTATTAACGATTAATAAACATTTTTTTATAACAGAATATTAATTTAATGTCACTGGTATTGAATTATTTTATTTCAGTCGGTAAATTAATTTAATCTTTATTTTACGATAATGGGCTTTGTGAAATAATTGTTAAAAGAGAAAATATGATGGTTTATGCAAAAATATATAGAATGTTCCATATGTAAAATTTGTGTATAAAATTCTTTTTATAAAATAATATATACATCAATATTTGTGTGAACAGTAAATGACAATTAAAACAAAATAAGCTTTTTTATATTTTTGAAAGTGTTATCTGACTATTGTAAATAATGTATTTGTATTCTTAAACTTCCAATTTCTATATGCTACATAATGAAAAATTTAGCGGTATATTTTTAGTTGTAGCGTTAAGAAATAATTGATTTAAAAAATTATATGTGTACTATAAGCATTATAAGAATAATAAATTAATTGTAACAACATAAATGTATCCATACATATTTCATATTGGCGTATATTTTAATATTAAATTCGGCGCGCAGTTTGCAGGATTGAGTATATAAATTTAAACCGAATTATTTAAGCACTAAAGAATCAATTCGACTGTTTAAGGCTTTTTTTCCTATTTGTTGTGTATATTCTAATAAATAATGTATGTGGAGAAGCACGTTGCATAAAAATATATTGTATTAATATGGAAATGATAAATGATCTATAATATTCTCTTCAATTACAATTAGGTAATAATAAATTTTTAGTATAAATTTTTACAAATCTAAGATTAGATATCTAAAATGTTATTATATCTAAAATTAGATATTAATGTTGCAAGATTTTATATATTAGATTAATATGAAAATAACGAATCAAATTGTTTGACCTCTCTCTCTTTGCTCTGGTTTATATACTCAATTATATTATTGTATTGTTTAATAAAATTTTACAAACATTTATGCACAATATTTATGCATAACATACATTGTACTTTATCCAAAAATGCATTTTACTTTGCAATGAGACAGTTTTAAAAAATTCTCTTTTAGAGTAATTCTCTGCTCGGACCAATTAGTATGCGAGTCCAACAAGTCGAGCAAGTATGAGATCAAAGGCAAAACGCACGGTGCTAAAAATATTTTTCGTGTAAAGGCGAAAATCTGAAAACTGGGCATACTCACTGCTCGTGTCCTGTTTTGGTTGGTTACCCGGCGACGTCGCCCAATTAACTTTCATCTCCTGAAACATTAAAAAAACAAAGAATGTATTTAATGCTACGTGATAATGTAAAAGGACCTAATTTTGTGAAGAAGGTTAAGAAATATTGATATGTACTACATAAGTAAATTTAACATGTTAAAAGATCTTTTCGAAAGAGAGAAAGAGGAAAATAGAGGGAGGAGAGGAAGAGAGAAAGATTACATCGCATATAGTAAATTTATAAAATAAAGATAAAATTCTTCTTATAAAAATCAAACTTTAATATCAATATTTATCATAAGTTTTGCTATATATAATATACTTTAATATGCTGGAATAATTTTTAATCCAGTTGAATAGACAAAACACTTGGAATGTACAAGAGGAGTAGACATATATGTTATATATGTAATAAATAAAAAAGAATATTATTTCTATTTCAACTAATTAAATTTTTAATCTAATAATTGGAAAAAATATTTACTTCTACAACAGTTAGAGTAATTGCTATAACTTAATAAATAATGAATACGATATTTTAAATCGTATTCATTATTTATTGAATTTATTTAATCTAATATAAAGCTAGTCATTTCTTCATTCGTAATACTGTTTTTATAGATTTGCATTCTGCATTGCTATTGACTTTTAGAGCCACCGAAATTTCTTAGACAAACTTAGGAGAATCGATCACATTACTTCTAAATCGGATCTGCAGATTCCGGCAGCGAGGAAGTGGTTTCACTTTGGAGAAGACGTCGGGCGGCGGAAATGGGACGTGTCGGGTATCGTCGAGTCCTAACAGACGCTGTAAACTGGATTCTTTATGCATCACGGTGTACCCGGTCGTAGCGTCGCAGATATTCGATAGATAGTAAAAGTCATTTCAGCGGAATCGATCGCGGCCCAGAAAAAAATGAAGGTACGTAAAAGCGACGAGACCACGAGCAAACCACAGAATAAGTTTTGCTGCATTGAACTTTATAACGAAACGCGTTTACAAAGAGACAAATTAATTCAGAATGTATAGTAACTAAACTATTACGCGTGTACCTCTCATCAATGAGTTCATATTTTCTTTTGTCAGAAGATACTTTAATAGAAAATATGCTATAAATGATAGAAATCCATCGATTTTATCGACAACATATTAGTCTTTCTAGACAGTGCGGTGTGCAATATATGTATCCCTTATAAAATATTATTGGCAATTAATAAGCTCTCTGGGAAAATTCAATATAAAAACATGTGTTAAATTCATCGACATATTACCTCGCCATTTTAATAAATTTTAATATCAATATGAATTTTTCTCAAAATATAGTATCGTTTTTATCCGGGGGGGGGGGGGGGGG